TCATTCAGATATAAGCGCCATGCTCTTTGATGTCGCTGTCATCACTACCCAGTCTGTCGCTTCGAGTGTCGCGCCGCTTCTGACCACTTTGCTACTCGCCCGCCTCAACAGAGTCCGAAGCTACAGTTGTAGGCTCTGCAGACTCTCAAGCTTACCAGCGTTCGCGCTCGAGTTCACGACCATCCTTCCACTCGCGCGACTCCGTTGCCCTTCACCAAGCAGAGTATCACCCTGATCTTCGCAGTCCATACACCGTGAGTATGGGCTGTGCTGAAGGCTTGGCCCGATTCGCCGCGCGCTCATACATTGAACACCGTGGTCGCCTCGCAGAACCCTAGCCACTACTCGGCCAGGCCTCAGACATATCATCAACGCTCGCAGTCGCACATGTCTTCCGTTCCTACCACACCTACCTCAGCGCAGCGCACTGGCCGGCATGGGCAGGAGGGTAGCAATGATGATGTAGGTCACGCGCGTGGGCCGACCAGCGCCATAGATCGCGCCATCGAAGCGAATGCCACAGACCGGACTTGGCAGACCGCCGAGGAGGGCAGGCTCGACGAAGATGTGAGAAAGGAGCGGCATTGGAGGCGATGGGGCTGTTATATGAGCGAAAGGCAGTGGGTGAGTAACTTACGTGGCTGCAGCAACAGCGACCTATGAACGGAGACTGATGGTTACAGGCGCTTGATAGGGTACTGTCCGCGAAGATTACAGCGGCAATGGCGATGCCTGGACCCATTTTCCCCACGAAGTTGCCCGTAGCCGCACCTTCCGGTGGGGCGAAGATGGTATCGCGGGTCTGTGCGACAACCACGGCCGCATGTGCTTCAGTTTAGCGCTGTGGAATGGCAAGGACAGGATGCTGAAGGAAAGGCTTTTTGGTCTGGCCAATAATGAAGGTGAGTGCAGATGCTTAAATGGTTGCTCGCAAGCACCTTTTCTGACCCTGCCCTCGCTCATGCAGGCAATCATGGTGAAGATGTCAAGGAGCTGTATTGGTATTTGGACAATACTCCGACGCACAGCTACATGAAGATGCTGTACAAATACCCCCAATCTTCCTTCCCTTATGAGCAGATGGTCCGCGAGTCACGCAACCGGAGCCGTGATGTCGCCGAGTTCGAGATCACGGACACGGAGCTGTTTGACGAGGAAAAGTACTGGGATGTCTACATTGAGTACGCAAAGGACAAGGATGAAGAAAATGCGATCTCAGTACGGATCAGCGCTTACAACAGAGGGCCAGAGGATGCTGATCTGCACATCATTCCTCAACTGCTCTTCAAAAACTACTGGAGCTGGCCCAAGGAGGAGCCGGCCAAGCCGCTCCTTGAAGAGAAGGCTAACTTGACCATTCAAGCGGATCATCACGAGCTCGGTCGATCCTACCTCTACTGCTCCACTAGTCCCGCGCCTTCAGCGCCTCCTCGCAAGCGTGGCGCACCTCCCGAGTTGATTTCCGAGGAGGAGATCACCCCTGAGCTGCTCTTCACCGAGAACGAGACAAACTTTGAGCGATTGTACAACGGCAAAAACAAGTCTTTCGCAAAGGACGCTTTCCATGATCACATCGTTCCTGCGCACAGACTTGAGAAAGATCAGCCCCAGCCGATCCGCAAGACGCGGACTGTCAAGCGGAGCATCACACGGACGGTCAAGGTGCCCAAGAAGGGACCCAATGGTACTTCAGCACCAAACGGTGTCCCCGCCAAGCAGAATGGCATCAACGGCCAGCTCTCGGATCTGTCCGTCGATGATGGCGAAGATGAGAAAGAGATCACCGAGGAAGTGGAGGAGGAGGAGGAGTACTTCGAGGCTTCTCAGGACACGAAACCTACGCGTGACTATGTGAATCCCGAGAAGAAGGGCACAAAGGCGGGCGCGCATTACTTCTTCCAAGGCGTGCCTGCGAACGGCGGCTGCGCAGTAGTGCGCATAAAGCTGACGCCAAAGAGCGCACAGCAAGATCCGACCATCAACGATGATGAGGCGTTCGACGCTCTGATCGATGCTAGACAGCGCGAAGCGGACGAGTTCTACACGCGTATCGCCTCCGGTCCCATCTCTGACGACATGAAGAACATCATGCGTCAAGCTCTGGCTGGAATGCTTTGGTGAGTGATGGCTAGACGGTTCGTTGGACTGCAAGGATGCTGAGCGCTAATCTTTGGCCAATCCTACTGGACTGCAGGAACAAGCAGCACTACACGTTTATTCAGCCCCAGTGGATCGCGGGAGATCCCGGACAGCCCCCTCCGCCACCCGAACGCAAACATATTCGTAACAAGGACTGGAGACATCTGCACATGGAAGACGTGCTGTCCATGCCCGACAAGTGGGAGTATCCTTTCCCTGCTGTCTGGGACTCCGCCTTCCACTGCATTCCGCTCGCCATGGTCGATCCTACGTACGCCAAGAAGCAGCTCGACCTCTTCACACGAGAGTGG